CGGCGAAACCTTATTCTTAAAGTTAAAGGACTCCTTGGTAACCTGATAAGGTATTGTATCTCAGTGGGCTATACTGAAGATTTCCAAACAACCATCGTACCTTGACCTCAGCTTCCGGGTCCCAGACGATCAGATCGGCGTCATAGCCTACTTGAATAGCCCCCTTTCGGTCATGCAAACTCGCATGCTTCGCAGTCGCAACAGAAGTCCATTGGACGATCTTGGAGAGCGAAACTCCCCTCTTTCTGCCTTCAGTCCACAGCAGACTCAACCCCAATCCCAGGGTGCTGATTCCTCCCCATGCACCCATGATGTCACCGGTATCGAGGTTCTTGAGGGATGCGACGCAGGGACTGTGATCGCTCACGACACAATCAATTGTCCCATCTTCTAACGCTTTCCAGAGTTCTTCGCGATTGACACCCTCGCGAACGGGGGGACAGCACTTGAACTCGGGATGACCGTTAGGGATGTGTTCTGACGTCAGGGTCAAGTAATGGAAGCATGTTTCGACAGTCAACGGCAACCCCGTCGACTTCGCAGCCCTTACGAGAGGCAAGGCTGAGGCAGCTGACAGATGGACAATGTGAAGTCGAAGTGACGGATACTTTGCGTGCAGGGAATTGATAAGCCTGATAGCATCCACTTCTAGCTGTTGAGGTCGGGACGCAAGGAAGGTGTCGTACAAGGTGGGATTAGCTGATGTGGGCGCCGCCGGTGATCCCGTGTCTAGTTCTGCGTGAAAACATAACACTGTTGAGATCCCCTACGGACATCAATGATCACATTTATCTCTGGAAAATGGTCTAAATGGTACGGATGACTCGTTACCTGTAGTTCTCCCATCGCGAGATGCAAGTCTTTTTCGGTCACGCATGGGAATTCCTATAGTCAAATCAATCACAATCAGGAAAAGGGGTGAGTATTCCGCCGATAAGAAGTTGGTAAATTATATAAAATACATACCTCGACTCCGCTTTCGATGAGGAAGCATTTAAACCCCTTCACACCGGCTACTATAAGTGATTTCAAATCCGTCTGTTATTCTACTGCGGTCAGAAAAGGAAAGGCAAAGCAAAATTTAAATAAAGAAGCTTATCCGGCATACATGCCTCGTTCCCTGGTATTACACCGCCCCAGAAAGCGACATCTGCCCAACACTGGCCCTGGGCTGCGTTACGTTTCTGTTCAAGATGATTGACGGTGGTCGTGGGTGGGATGGAGTTGAGTGGCATGTCAACTACGGTTGTGACGCCCCCAGAGACAGCTGCTCGGGTCCCCGTCCTGAATCCTTCCCAGTCTGTGCGACCTGGTTCGTTGAGATGGACATGGGCACTAATAGAGTGAAGAGTAGAGTCAGTGTATGTCTTTGTAAGACGTACGGACATCGGACGCGAGTCTTACTCTACCAATCCCGGTAATAAAACATTGTCTCCAACATCGATGAAGTCAGATTCTGGAAGATTGAGATGTTCTGCTTGACTTGAATGGCTCTGGCGTATATCAGTGATCTTGCCTGTCAAGGTCGAGACCTTGATAGTTGCGGGAATAGGTCCCTCTCTACCGGGAAGCAGAACCTTATGTCCCGTAAATACACGTTCTCCGCTAGGCATATTCAATAAGCTCAAGAGTAAGAAGAAAACAATACTTGGAGAAGATTGAAGGATATTCGAAGTCGTATATCTCAAGCTGCACAGAGTGCCAAGGACGAGATAGGAAAACAGCATACCCGAAAACGGCAGGTGTCGTGGTTTGAAAGATCGGCGTGGCAATGCAAATCTTAACCGCCTCGTTACAACGCATGGCTCTAGCTCTCGCACAGGCTTACGACCGCAACCAATATATGGTATGATCACTCCATTTCATGCATATGTATTGCAAGTGGCCGACCCAGTCCCGACACAGCAAGAACATCAAATATATGCCACGCAGCACCGGACGGCCGCTCTCTGTCGTTCTACCTCTGACCTTCTACCATTCCTTCCCTCTGAGAGGGTCTTGTCCCTATTTGCTTTCATTCTCTGTTCCATTTTTTGCGTTCATCAACGCCAACGACGTCCATCGGACACCTTGGACACCTGCCATCGTGCACCGCTCGCTGCTATCTTGGTCCTTGGGCCTTTCTCTTAGTATAAGTGTGTTCTAATGAGGTATGGCGGCCAGGTGTTTCCCGTTCACATAGAAGCTGACTACAGAGCTGAAACGCATTCTTACAATTCGACAATCTCACCGTATCCGCCATTGCCGTATAACCATACTACGCCGCGACTATATATCCTCCGGACATGGAATATGGTCTTCCGATGACTCGTGTTCTTCGTTCCAAACACAGTATGCCTGACCTGGTCGACGGATCGTCGTTGTCTCGTGGGTACCTTGCATGCAAGTTGTGCAGGTCACGGATTGCATCGCGGAAAGCCATTCTATCGTGGGTAAGTACGCGAAAAAGTTGGTCGGATTGGAAGTGAATCCTGATTTTATTTGCCGTTAAAAGGCATTTCGAGGCAACAAAGGAAAGGCTGCGTTGTTTGCAGCTGTAGTCGAGTTAGGTCACTCCTACTATCGAACAAAACACTGGGTGCTAATGCCTTTGCAGAAGCCGAGTTAGACTCCAACCCCAAACGCTTCTCCTGATGGACTCTGGAGCTCATACTGTGCAAGACGTCATATGCAGTGTCTGTAATACCACTCTTGGATGGAAATTCGTCAAAGCGCACGAATGGCCCGAGAAATGGAAAGAGGGGAACATCGTCTTGGAGCTCGAACTTCTCGAGGAGGAGTATTCGGGGTCGCCGCTGAAACAAGAGATCAGTCCACTTTCGGACGAGACAAACGTAGCAAAGAGGCTACTTGTTCCAGGCATAGATCCGGCCCATAGGCGAAGTACATCCGATCTCTCAGAGAGGAGAGTCAAACCTCTGGGTCCGAGAAACCACAAGAGTATGCAGGTGTTGAACACGATGCGAAACATTATCCATGCACATGTGTAAACGATTGGTCATTCGGTATTATATTATAGCCCTGTAATATTTGTAAACTATAGATGGTGGGATCGACTCTCAATATTCAATATTCAGCATGAGTCTGTTGTATAACTTGTATGCGTCGGAACTTAACAAACCGACCTCTAACAACCGGGAAGGTGGGAACCTTGATCGAATTGTGCCTGAAGATGTGCTAAAGACGGGAGAAGGGAAGTAAGTTTATAGAAGTGCAATACATAAGAATTAGAGATACCATTGACATTGCCTCTGATACCATAGAGTCCGATTAGAACGATGGGCAGGTTGTCTTAGAGTCTCCATCCATGGTAGCATTTCGGGCATGGCTGAGATCCAGCTAGATTAGCTTGTTGTCGCCAGCTTTTCTACTGTAGCAACGATTGACCGGAGACGAATTCGGAGTATAACCTGGGCGAAGTGCCATTGACTGATAATTGAAATAATCAGTGGCTTGGTACGCAACCTGAATCATTCGAAGAGTTTCTACTTGTCGCGAACCAATACTCGCCCGAGAGAGAACTAGACCTGAATGGCCTGCCTTGTTCCGGTTGCGACTTACGAACTACAGGATACACAACCTACGATCCGTAAGCGGAGACGTTTCTATCAACGAATCTGCAATAGTCAAATCAGTTGTGTACATCAAAACGTGAACCTTCGTACAATCGGATGAACGAGTTGGCGAGGTTGCCATTCTGGACACAGCCATGATACTGCAAGGTTTGAAATGCCTTCGTATTATAAAGCGAAGCATTGTTATATATATATATGTATACCGTAGCTCTCGGTATATATATGAGAGTAGTCGGAGCGGAATGAGAAGAGAGGGAAGAAGCGGTGAGGAGAGTCGTGAAATGTAGATCCGCGAGCTCAGAAGAGAGGTCCTCGTATGTTATACTAATGTTGCATTCAGTGTCATTAGACCATGGTTTGAGGGAATGTCTGCATCTTCAGGTTTCTATCGAATTGTCATGTAGTTTATTGTTAGGAGATCGGCGGCTCAGAATTGAAAAGAGGGGAGACCCTTGAATGTGAATCAGACATTCGGGATAAACTTCCTCGATGTAAGTCTTGGCAGCATCGTCAAACGGCTGGGGCGTTCAACGCCAATCCGAGTCGGGTTACCTAAGTTAGGACGTTGAAAGAGCGTAAGTTCGTAAGCTTCTACGAGTGAAATATGGCAAAAAAAGCTTTCGGGTGTTTAGTGCTTACTCGTTGTACAAGGAGCTGAAGATAAAACTCCCCTTGTCTCCACTCTGAAAGTCATTCCTAAAGGACGCCTTACGTGAAGCGAAATCGATACTTCGATGACTATGAACAAAATAGGGATTCTTCAATCGGTGTCAGAGCCAATTGTGGATGGTGAGCTGGGGAAGTTGCAGAATGAGGTTAAATATAATTATTTATGCGTTCGGATCAAGGTCGAACTTCATTGAAAATCTTCTAACGCTCCTTGAGTAATGGTAGAGTCGAGCTGAGACGTTGTCATGATGTTTCTAGGGTATGCTTATAAGCTTCAGACAACCGAAGTGCGAGCGAATGAAACATACCGTAACGCAAATGAGAGTATCCATAGTCGAAGGGGGTAGCAAGTATCAACACCTCCAGAGATCAGTTAACAGAGCGAGTTTCAAGCTCCAGTTAGCCTCACCAGGATTTCTGAGCCGAATTGAGTGTTTCATCGGAAGAACCGGGTTCGACGAGGTCAACAAAATCAGCAGTTTCTAAGAACCTGATCATGATATCGTGCTAGGTTCAAGTTCCACGGAACACGCACTCAGCCCAGACATTTCGAGTCTAAGGTTGCCAGGATCGATACGTAGCATCCAGAGGGATTACCAGTCAGGATTGTGTGGTTTGTAAGTTGTAGTTGTAACTAGTGGTAAGTTGTCAAGTACTGACTGGTCACTGGTACTGGTGTCAGTGGTACTGTGGTAGTATACCAACTACCTGTACGATTTATAGGTTGTCAGAACTGCTGAGGAGTAACTTATGTAATCGGATATGGTGTAGTGGCTAACATTATCGCCTCTCAATCAGTCCGCGATAGCCCGGGGTTCAATTCCCCGTATCCGAATATTTTGCTTCCTCTTCTTTGTCCGTCGCCTACGTATCGTATCCCTGAGCCGAGACTTTCTTGTCTCTTGTGAGTAACTATGTATTTTACGGTATGTTTGACTCCCTATTTTATCATTACAAGGATAGAACGAAAGTAGCGCAATTGCCTCTCGCTATTGCGTGCCTTCAACAACTCTTTGCCCACTCCTTATTTAACAGTCCTGATATTCATTGCTGTGTCCGCGATTTCCAAGTATTATGACGAGCCCCGTTCCCAAGTCTACTATGGGAAGTCGACACAAACTATGTGTTGAAGGCGAATTCGGAAGCGTGGAGTTAACCTACAGTACGATTACACACGGATAATCGATACGCGATGAGTGTCTCTGAGAATCATCAGGGAGTACTGCACGGCAAAGCTAGAAGCATCCTTATCCCAGACAGTGGCAAACACGAGGTACTGTGTCTACTCCGACTCACCTCACAGGCTAATACTATGGCAAACTAATAACATACCGACATACCCACGACCGCGTGCATATTTCCGCCTCTCGAGCGTCCCAAATTTATCTCCGACCTGCAAGCCTAAGGCATCTTTTACGCCTCACTCTTTTCCTTACAATGTCTGAATCCAAAGTGGAAAATACTGCTTCCTTACCACAGGTTACAGTGATGTCGCCGTCCGATGCCGGTAGTACCTATGGGACACAAGCTCTTGAAGACGATAAAAATAGGTGTTTAACAGATGAAGAACTCCTGGCTAAACTCGGGTACAAGCAGGAGTTCAAACGCGACTTTGGGCATCTCGAGCTATTCGGAATGTCGTTCAGCATCGTCGGAGTCGTGCAAGGCATTGCGTGAGTACTTTTGAACCGAGTAATCCAGTTAACCTCAAGAAATTGTACTCGGTACTTTGCTAACTTTCGAATCTTTCACGCCTCGTCCTTATCTCGACTCTTCAGTGCTGTCTTGCTGTTTTCGATCCCATACGGCGGGCCTGCCGCTATGGTATGGGGTGTATGTACCTTGATGTCTCATAAGAGCGTCTTACGTGACACTGATACCTTCAATCAGTGGTTTACATGCTCATTTTTTCTCTTCATCGTAGCCTTGGCCATGGCTGAACTAGGAAGCGCCGCACCTACTGCAGGCGGACTATACTACTGGACGTACAAGTTCTCTTCCGATAGATATAGACGGATCGCATGCTGGCTAATTGGATGTACTAAGCATCCTTCCATTGTATTACTCTATTTCGCGCCACTCACTGTCCTTATCCATTATAGATGTCAATACGGCGGCCTACATCTCTGGTCTCGCTTCTGTTGATTGGGGGGTTGCCAATCAAATCATGGCTGCTGTCAACATCGGGACCAATGGGGCGTTCGTTGCATCAAATGCGCAGGTTTAGTGAGTTGCTTCCATGCATAGGCACTATAAACATGTCTGAACGTATTATCCGACCTTCTGGTTCAAACATATATTTTTCGTTTATTCCAGTGGCGTGTATGCTGCCATCCTACTTAGTCACGCAGTTGGGGGCAGCCTGACAACGAAGATTATTGCACGAATACAATGGTTTTATGTATTCTTAAACGTCGCGTGAGTACTATCCCGTACTGACCAGAACATAATGCTGACACTCCTCGTTTAACAGGCTGTTTTTCGTTGTCATCATTGTCCTACCCGTTGCGACTCCTCCAGAGTTCCACAATACGGCGTCGTATGCTTTGACGCATTTTGAAAATGGTCGGTGTCGTTCCTTGCCTGGAGTCGCAGCTAATCTTAGTTCGACCTTTTAGACACACCATGGCCAAACGGATATGCTTTCATTTTGAGCTTCCTTGCCCCGGCGTGGACAGTCGGTCAGTGATATCTCCAGGTCAAACCCAAACCTCTCATTTTAACCTCAAATTACCATCACATAGCTGGTTTCGACACAAGTGTTCATATTAGCGAAGAGGCAAGGAATGCACCAAAAGCTGTGCCATTTGCTATCTTATCGGCGACAATAGTAAGTGCAATATTGGGATGGAGTAAGTTCTCAACATATAGGATCCTTGTCAAATACTCATTTAGAGGCGTACAGTTGTCAATATCGTCCTAGCGTTCTACATGGGAGATAATCTCCAGTCGGTGATCAGAGATCCCATTGGACAACCTATGGCAACGGTTAGTTAAATATAAGACACAACATAGAAATTCGACGTTAATTGGAAATGTAGATCTTTTTCAATAGTGTCGGTAAACGAGGCACGCTCGTTGTATGGGCATTTATGATTTTGACTCTTTGGATGACGGGCATGGACTACGTGCGTATTCTACTCGTAGTCTCGGCTTCATGGTCACTTCTATCGACAGCACTGAAATGACAACCTCTCACAGCTCATAGCGGGCTCTCGACAACTCTTTGCCTTCTCGCGCGATAAGGCGTTCCCATTCTCCTCTTACCTTTACCATATCAACCCTTACACAAAAACACCTGTTCACGCAGTGTGTTTTCTCGCATTGATGTCTCTTATTCTAGCTCTCATCTCGTTCGCTGGGCCGATTGCTATCAGTGCTGTTTTTACGATGAGTATTGTCAGCCAATACATCGGGTTTGCAACTCCCATCATTGCAAGATGGTTTGGTGGAAGACAATTCGTGCCCGGCCCGTTCAGCTTAGGAATAATGGTGCGTTCATGATACCGATCCCTCAATGCAGATCTACCACTGAAACTTGTAAAACAGAGTGCACCCGTCGCTTTCGTCGCTTCTGCGTACATGATTTGCATGATCGTTGTCTTTCTCTTCCCCGCAGAGCCGAATCCGACTGCACAGAACATGAATTACACCGTTGTTGTCCTCGGAGGTACCATCATTCTGTCCCTTGGGTACTATTTCTTCCCCGTTTACGGTGGTCGACATTGGTTTACTGGACCGGTTGAAACTGTTGGAGGCCATGGTGAAGAGAAAGAGAGCTCTCATGAGCAGGTGGATGAAAAGTTATGATCAGCAACTTAGGGTCGCATCCACTTTTATACCTCGGTCTATAACAATAAAACGACATTTACTAACGTTCGTAATTGCAACTCACATTAAAAAAGTGTTATACGTAGAACCCGAACTCACTTTCATCGGATATGGTGTAGTGGCTAACATTATCGCCTCTCAAGTGGTGCGCGATAGCCCGGGGTTCAATTCCCCGTATCCGAATTTCTTTTTTGTCATAACGTTCGTCCGAAATCCTCAGCTGTCCTCCGACTGCTCCGTCCCTAAAGTCGTATCTGTTCTGCCCGCATACGAGAATTCTCGAAAAGCGAGTTGAGATGAACAGAGATGAACCTATTTCTATTTCTGTCTCTTCTGCCCTCACGCTCGGTTGACCCCCAAACTTTGGTAACTCGAGATTGAGTTTTATCTGATCAATAAACACCCTGGCGACTCAGACTGGGGATTGTCGGCGGCAGACGGGGTTGATCATATTTGAAACTACCAGTGCTCGTACCGAGCCTGGATGCTTCAGAATACCGCGTTATAAGTATATCTCATCACAAGACCTTGTTGCTTTTGCAGTGCTATTACCATGTCGCCAAACGGCGTACTTCCACTCTCCCAAACCCTATTTTTAGGATGCGGAGAAATGGATGTGCATTTATTTTTACGCTGCCAGATGTCTCATTTTGCACCTGAGGATGGAATATACGGCCGCAACAATTACTCATTCAACTACGTTTAGGCCCGCTCTCCCCCGTCCAAAGGAATATACTACTTGATCAAAACGCACGTTGGTTAGTATGCTCAAAAGATTTGCGTTTCAGACACTTGACGACAATTCAGTTCGTGTTCAAGGGAACATAAGTACTATTGTACTACCCCTCGGATATCTCGTCTCGGAGATAGTCATAAGATTTCACCGTTGCTGCGGGCTCTACGACCATCATGCACGAGATATTGTGGGGGCCTCGCATTGACAACCGCATGGAATTGCTCAGTGCTCACCAAGTCCTTCATGTGACTTGGTAGCGGGAAAGCATACTTCGCATAGATCTCGTTCGCTTAACGTTGGTCAAGTCTAAGAAACGCCTATCTTGGTACCTCCACTGAAAGTCCGACCGACCGAATGACGTAGTTTGGAGAATATTTGAACTATACAGGAATATACAATGCGCTACATATAGTTTTGAGTAAACGAGAACAAAGAATGATGAAAGATAAGTTAAGAGGCGACGAAAGCAATCGGATATGTACAAAGCAGATGTCCCAAGAAAAAAAAGATTGCGATGAAAAAGTGAGAATACGATACAGCTGAATCTAGAGTAGAAAAAACGAATCCATATTGAAGGAGAAGAGTCCAGTAATAGTCCGTCAAAGGTCAACCCAATAGTCAAAAGAACGAAAATAAGATGAGAGTATTATGGAAAATTATACACACGTAGGATAGCCCAGTGGGACAGTAAACGAATATCCCGTGGGTACCTGATAAGAAGTGGTGGGTTGACAGTAATACATGTTTTCGTACATCGGCTGCTCCGAGTACGTCGACATATCAACGCAATAGTAGCGCTGAGAGACAACTTGGGTAGAGTCTTCATACCCGGTAGAATACTGCCAAGGAGTATCCTTTGACGAGCCAGCGTCATAGGTACCACTGCTGCGTGACGATCGGTTAGTATCATACATATCGCTTACAATCAGGGTTTGCTTACAAGGGTGGTGCAGAGGTGGGAAACGCTGAGTATGGAGCAGCCATATACTCGTGGGGATGCGACAGGAACTGCTCGCCAGAGAGCATACGAGGGTCGACGGTGCAGGACGACGGAAGAGTGGATCCATCGGACTCGAGGAATTGAACAGATTGATTGGAGTCGGCGACTCGAACTTCGAGAGATGAAATAGTTGGGCCAGAGACCGAAAGTTTCCTGGGTTGAGGAGCGTGCAGAGCAGGCGTAGTGTGATCTACTACCGCTGCATGAGATATTTGTATCTCTGGCAATTCATACGAATTGATTGTATTCGACTGCACGTCGTTGAAGT